GGGATAGGGGGCGGGGCTGACTATGAGAGAGGTAGGGCTGACAAGGGGAGGGGCTGGAGAGGCAGGTCTGTTAAGGGGCGGGGCAAGGAGCAGAGTGGCGAAGGAGGGGTAAGGCCAGAAGGGGCATTTGAGGGGAGGAGCTAGTGGGTGAGGGGTGGGCAATGGGTGGATGGGGCGGGGCAATGGGTGGGCGAGGGGCGGGGCAAGAAGCCAGCCTGCCGTCCCCTGGGCGGAGGGCAGGCTGGCTCCCCTGAGGTCTGGGTCCTGCATGCAGGGAGGCCGCCCGGTGTTTGCCTTTAAAACCAAGACTAAGCTTAACCGCACCCCAGGGCGGTGTCTGTGATCCCCTGGAGACACCTAGATGGACATACAGCTCTTCCCTTCCACACCGCCCCTTGTCACCGGCCTGACACCTGCTGTGGAACCCCAGGGCGGCCCCGGTGCTCCGGAACCCAGATTGTGCCCTGATACCACGCTCCCCACTGGGATTGATTTAATCAGACTCTCACAGGGTGATCTGCTCTTCAGATACACTGCATAGTGCTTTGCTCAGTACACACGCTCTAACAGGGTGCTCCACTCTTTAGACACACTGCATAGTACTGTTCTCAGTACCCACACCTGCAGGGTGATCCACTCTTCAGGCATACTGCTTAGTGCTGTTCTCAGTACACATGCTCTCGCAGGGTGCCCCACTTCAGATACACTTAGTCTGTGCTCAGTACGCGTTTGCACAGAGCTAACACGAGAAGAGCTCACATGTAGCACATGAGCACATTTTCCATTGGCCTCAGACCCCCCCCCCCCTGCAGCGTTGCTCCTGGGCGTGAGCGCCCAGGCCTCCCACCAGGGCTCACACCACTCCCAGCATTCTCACCCTCAGCAGGACTGCTGTCAGATGGCCCATGTTCCAAACACTGCTGCCGGGGTGCTGACCTCACCCCCAGCCGCGCCTGCCAGGCCCCAGAGCTGCTGTCCCCTCCATCTTCCTTGTCAGGCATGTCCACCGTTGTCCCCCTTTGTCCTTACCCCTTCACGTTGCATTCTAGTGTTTAAAGGAGCCGAAATAACCTGCTTCAGCTGGTGCTGGAAAGCCTACCTGAAGGAAGGGGGGAAAGGCCAGACTTCACAGTGTGGAGGCTTACCAGTGGGGAAGTAGGGAGGGGGCTGAGGTTTTTAGAAATAATAGAAGCCATAAAGATTTTAGTTTATCATAATTAGAATAAATATCAATATTCATAATTTACTAGTGTACATTTGTAAAATCATAATCAGTGAACACAAAGAAGCTGCCTGCTTGAATATTGATTCTGATCATTCAGGTCTGAGCTAGTGAGATGGTAGGTGATCTTTAGAAGACCTTAAATCACCCCAGGGCCAGTGGCTCACACCTATAATCCTGGCTCTCAGGAGTCTCATATCCAGAGGATTAAGGTTTGATGCCAGCCTGGGCAGAAAAGTCTCTAACACTTTTTTCTGCAAAATAGCCTGCAAAAAGCAGGACTGGAGGTATCATGACTCAAGTGGTAGAGTGCCAACCATGCAAGAAAGCTCAGCTAGGATACCTGACTTCAAAACAGTATTGCCAGCAAAGGGAAAGCCAAAACACCTGGTATCTGTGTTGTATCCCTGAATTATCCCCTGGGAATTGCAACTGCCAACCAGCTCTCCCGGCTCTTCTTCCCTCTCCCATCCGTGAGATTTCAGCTGTGCACACATTCCATTGCACATTCAGTTAACACCCTGGTTTTTTTTTTTTTCTGGCATCTTCACAGAGGCCAATTAGAAATTTAATAAAAAATCATGCAATTAAAATACACATTCCTCAGAAACAGCTATTCTTCTGTGTGAACATCTTTGTAAGGCAAGAGGAAATGCACACATATGCGCACTTGTGCCTCTTTTTGAAAATGGAGGGAGGAATGAATTGGCTACTGCACTGAATTGAAGTAAAGTGGGTTTGCTTTTGTCAAATGGGTCCTACAGCATTCTGTCTTCATGTTTGTGAGTTTTTGCACCCTGGTGACTGTTTTCATCACTGCCTCTTGTTCATTTGTTGCAAATCCCTCAGAACTGTGTGCATTGGGTAGAATGACAATTAGAGAAATTCAGATCCTAAGTGTTGTGTGGCTTAACAAGAGGGAGTGTAGGGCCAGCTCATTTCCAGGCTTAATTGGATGGATTGCACAGGATGAAATGTGACCAATGTAAGTCTAACAACAAATACTAAGTTTAACATTTATCACCTGTGCAATATTTAAATTGGCTTTAATATCCTCCAATGTGACATTACTCTTCTCTATGCCCAGCTCCCCTCCCTCTGCCCTGCCATTAGAGGGCCACGGCTTCTCAAAGGTCTAGACCCAGGCTTCAGCTGTGCTTGCTCTTGTGTCTCCAGTGACATCCTTTGTTGTTGTTGGTTTGTTTCTGCTGTTGTCTTCCACGAGGCTGACTGGGGGCCTTAGTCACGTCTGACCTTGATGGAGGTACCGGGGCCTTGGCAGCGGCCAACAACACATCCCTCAGCCAGGAGCCCAGCTCCCCCTTGTCCCTGTTCAACCCAGGCCTGCTCCCATGCCACTCACTCACAGCAGCTAGAGGGATGCTGGTGACCTAGCCCAGGTTTCAGCTGTGCTCCTCGCTGGCAGCCGCCTCTGACAGGCCCGCATTGGCAGATATCTCTCCAACCAGTGTTCCTCCCAGATGCTACTAGTATTTCAACAGATGTGCCAAGATTGAGAGATTGAGATAGAAACATAACACGCCAGTTGGTATTTTTAAACCTACAAGTCCAAAATAGTCTCATTGGAAGAACAGTAGTCTCCAGCTGTAGAAGGGCCCTGTGCTGGGTAAAAGTAAACAAGACTTCTGATATTTTTATGTCACAGCAAGAGCTACGTACGGAACATTTATTTTTACTTGCCATAGTCAAACAGTTCTGAGCACCGTGCCAGTGCTCACATGCGAAGCAGGCATCTTTGCTAAGCTTCCACCCGGGGCTTTTCACTGAAATCTAATTAGCAAGTTCTTACATGTGAAATATTGTAAAACATTTGCCACTCCACTAAGTCTTGATGATCTTACCCAGCAATGGAAACAAGCCTGTTTTGCCAGATACCAGATGAAGCATTTTGACTTACATTGCATCCCTTTTTATAAAGCTCTTCCTGCATTTGAATTCCCAAACAAGGAGAAGTTCCCTTTCTTTTCATGCATAATTTATCCAAGTAAAGTTCCTGTGTCGATAAGACAATCATGATTCCTTTCAGGTCTGTGTGGCTGCTGCTACAGTAAACAGAGAAATAAAGCCAAGGAAATTAAAGTGAATGTTGTATTGTTGTTATGTTGTACATTAAATTATTTACTATTTTAATAAATAATATCTCTACTCATTTAGCATGTTTCAACCTAGAGAAAATGTTAACGTATCATGTGTCAGAGTTAGAAATAGCCAAGCAGCCAAGCTAGGACCCATATTCCACCAGAACAAAGGCGGTCTCCTTCGGGAGGCATCCAGCAGGTGTCAGTCTTTTTCAGAATAGTTCTGTGTATAGGTGGCAATTAGGGGAAAGCAGGTGTACCAGCACACAGTTAAACTGGCTTTTTATTCTTCACTTGAGACGAGCTCTAATTGGTCACTTGCTATTGTATTATTTCATTGTGCTGACAGTTACAAGTCACTGTTTCCATAATAACAATTTTTCTTCTTTGTTCAAATGATTTCCTAATTACACGTGTGATGGGATGTTTTAATTCTCTTCCCTTTCAAATCCGCCTTCCTGTTGCAATGCATGATGAGCAGGCTCAATATTGTGCATGACACCCGCTACAAATGTTGGTAGGTGCAGCTGTTTCTTGATTTTTCTTAAACTGATGTGCGCCTCACAGCCCCTCAAAATCCACTGCTCAGTTTAACTGTGATCTATCGGGCAAGTCCATGTCCCTTACTAACACCTGTCAATTAAATGCCATTTTCTATTTAATTGACGTCAATTCACCTAAGTGTTTTCCTTACACACGGTAGTCTCCTTTAGTCACCTTTGGTGGATTTTGATTGGACTCTGAGCTCTGGTGTGTTAAAAAAGGAATCTATCTCATAAAAGTAATCATTGTTTTTATAATAGTAACCTATTAAAAAAACCCTTCTAATCAAACAGATAACTGTATATTGAAGTAAATACCCGTATTCTGATTAGATGTTGAATGTCTGACTGTGAGCACTCTATGAAATTCTTGTTTTGACTTAGCAAATTAAGCCTGTTGTGTCAGTTTTCCTGATTTGATGGTAACGAGCTTTTTTTCCCTCCCTTTTTTCTCTCCGCCCCTCTGCCCCCCTGCCCGGAATGCCTCCTGCTTTGCAATGCGATTGCATGTCACTTGCCGCGCTCGCTGCTATGATCAATGCCCTGGCCGGGGCTCACGTTGCCTGGTCTCCATGTCGCCGCACTCTTCTGTGTGTTTGCTCATATGATTTTCCCTCCGAAAGTTCCCATGGTGCACGGTGCTACGCCAGCCACCGTGTCCGCGGCAACAACACCTGCCACAAGTGTGCCCTTCGCTGCCACAGCCACAGCCAACCAGGTTTGCTCATTTACAGCTTTGTTTCCTAAAACCGACTCTCCCCGGGCCCCGTGGGTGGCCTCTAGGCATGGAGCAGCCAGGCTGGGGGGCCCTCCTGTGGGGCCGGTAGAGTCGGAGGGCTCTCTGGGTGCTGCGGTGAGCATGGGGGTCGGAAATGCCTCTTGTTGGCCTACACATCCTTCCTGTGACAAGCGGCCGATGCTTTTGTGCCATTTCTACGTGCTCCAAAGTCGTGGCAGCCTCATTTCTGAAGCTACTAAAATGACATTTACACAAGCAATTCTCCTTTGTTCTCAACCACCTGACCAGTCAAAAATATAGGCAATTTTAAGATTCAAAACCACCACCAACAAGGCACATTTGGGACATCCATTCCTGAGTTCTCGCCTAAATTGTTAAGGAAAATTAAAATACTAAAATGCCACAAATGACCACTCTTGTAAATAGAGTTTGATACAGAGTTATCGTTGATTTCTTCAGGAAGAAGATTCCAAATTAATTCTGTGTGGTGGAGCACTGCTAACCTTGAGCAAAAATAATCTCGGGGACAGTGCCCAGGCCCTGAGATCAAGCCCTGGAATTGAACTCTGTGCTGAGCATCTCAACCGATTCTCAGTACACGTAGTGAAAACCATTTTTCAGTGCCTTCATTTCTATATTACCCTGCATAAATGTTGCAGATAGATACATAAAGGATAGCAAGAAACAGTATGGTCCTGTGAGAGTCATTTCATCATCTACCCAAGTTTATGGGGTAACAATCCTGCAGGATACTTTGAAGTAGGAGGTGCCTACTGAAGCGACTTAAACTGGGTGAAAGGTGGGAGTTAGCTATTTTAAAATAAAATGATTATTTAAAATGTTTAAGTTGCAAAAACTACAAAAAGAAAAACCCACCAGCATTTTCTGATCTTGTTTAAAAATACATTCTAGAAAATACTGGTTGACGTAAAGTCATCTTTATGTGAAGTTAGTTCGGGCTTGAAGGTATAGAAACTTTTGTGATGAAAGCGAAGTTCCTGGGGGTTGACAGTGCCAGGAGAACTGAGCCAGCCTCGGCTCACTCATTGACTGGGCTGAAATGGAGCCAGTGAGTCTCAGGCCCCCATGCTGCGCCCACCTATGGAGGGCAGACAAGTGGAAAGTCGTGGCATCCGCGGAGCCTCCACCCTTGTTTCTTCCGTGCTCTGGCAAACACAAGGCTGCTAGCACAGCAGCTGCAGACTCTCGAGAGCACAGTGTCAGATCTGCCTTGAGTTTGAGACAAGCTTTCTCTATTTCTTGGCAAACAATCGTTAGTTTTTCGGAGCCTGTCAAAATAGCCTCAGACTGGCGATCATGTATCAGACTCGTTTACGAGCTCGCTCGCTGGTGCATTTGTGGCATAGGAGTACATTATCTCTAGCAGAAGGATCTCAATGGTTTCCAAGCGATCTGCTGCCGTGCAGCCGTGGAGCACGAGCTGTCTGTATGTGTGCCATCTATGATGATGAATTGCTGGTGTAAGCAGAACTCTAGCAGAGCCAATTTGACTATGTCTTGGGCACCTTTTGCATTGTGCTGTGACCATCTCATGCGTAGTCTTGGGTCTCCATACTATTTTACAACCAGACCAATGAAAAGGCAGTGGATATATATATATTATATATACACACATATATTGTATCCACGTACATCCATGTGTATATGCCTACAGTACATTAGCAGTGCTGGAAATAGCTGACACGACAAAGTGCCGCCTGCATGCATGCAGACGTTAAAGCGGGCCCTTCCTCGGCATCGGCTGGTGGTGAAGGTCCCGGTGTGCTCCGACAGCCCCATCCTGGAGGCCCCTTCACTCCGGGTGCACACCCTCCCTGCAGCCGGAAAAATGGTACGAGAGGCTTCGTGGTGCTTCGCAGCACGCTATGTGCCCTTTGCCAGAGCTGTCAAATCGCGTAGAACGGTCAGCCGAGAGACGCAGATAACACGGGGATATGTTCATGTTCACGCCAGACCGCAGGACAGAGAGGTCAGGGTAGGACGTCTGAAGGGCAGCCCTGACAAAAACGCAGTCGTGTGTGCGATCTGCTCTCCCATCAACCAAGCGCAAAGTTGGCCCATGACTTTGTACAGCAGAAACTTGGATGTAGAAGAAGGCCTTGCTTGTTTTAAAGTCACGTAGTCAGGAAAGGACGCAGGTGACCTGGCCAGCGCTCGCGGCCTCCAGTGGGCAAACCAACTGGACTGCAGAGAATTGAGACCGGTTTCTTACTGAATTTTCCCTCAAGTTCTCTAATTTTTGTTGCTCATTAAAACCCAATAGATAAGCAGTCCGGATTCAGTAAATTCTGAAATAAACCTATCCTCTCGCCCAGTTCTTTTGAATTGCTACCTTTTTCTGAATGACCTTTTTTTTGTGCAATCTTCAGATTGGGGGGAGGGGGAGGAGAAGAAATAGTTGAGCACTCTCACCTGGATGAAAATGTTAGAAATTCAATTGCACAAAAATAGGCAAAACGTTTCCTACTCTGATTTGTGTACCATTTTAAAATAATTGACTCCACAGGGTGAGTGTGTGTGCACACGCGTGTGTGTGTAGGCCAACAAAAAGGGCTTTTTCAATGACTGCTCTGCATGAATTTTTGGTAGTTTTTCCTCTCTTCCTACAAACTGGTAACAACTATAGAATAGTACTTAACAAAGATTAAAAGAAATGAGTTGCTATTCTAGAATTTATATTAACTTCCTATTGATCGAGTAGGACTTTCAGCAAGGGCTGACTCTTGCTTTTCTATAAACGTTTAATATGAAGATGGTTTCAACTCTTAGTAGTTGGTCTGCTTGCATGATCATTCATTAAATATCTTCTTATTTGCTAGATACCCATAATATCTGCCGAACATCTGACTAGCCACAAATACGTCACCCAGATGTGAGCTGTCAGCGCTCAACAGTAAGTCCACTACATAATACCTAATCCTGGTGTGTTTTGTTTTTAAGATAGCAATTGTGTGATCTACTTAAACCTTTGTAAAACTTCAGAGAAAGCACTTACAGAGTTCATGATAGGATGGCTTGTAAGGGATTTTTCATGTGAATTTACAATTAAGATGTCATAATTTAAAATACAAAATACTCAAGGATCACAAATGGGGGAGGTTGTTCCTATTAGGAATAAACACAATGTGCATTAGAACCGACTGGCCAGAAGATATGATTCAGAGGGCCATGTAGGTCTCCAGCAGCATGGACCATGTTGCCGGCGGCATTTCTGTCACAGGTCATGAGAACCTGCAGACAAATTGAGTGTCTTGGGTCCAGGAGAAATTCTCTTTTACAAAGTGGGCAACATGCTAGCAACAGTTTGGTGGTGCTGGGCAGAGAGCAATTAATGATGGGCCATGGGCTTCTGATAGTCTTTCTGCCCCTGCCAGCCAGAGCTGTCCACCCACACTGATGCCTCTATGGCCTGAGAATGATGTAAATAATACAATGAACCTCTGCAGGCAGAAAGCACCTGCTCCTGCCAGGCTCCTGAAATTCACAGAAGCACAATTTTTATAGTTAGAAAGAGCAGCAGCATTTCCAGCTAAATCTGGTGATTAGATAATTGGTCACTGTCAGTTGTTTCCTTTCATTCACTTATTTGGACCTTAACTCATTTACAAATGAGTTTGTGTTGCTGCATTGTCAGTTTATCCTGTCAGTGGGATGAAGATGTAAATAAGCTCAGAATAGCATCTGTTAAAATGTAAGAACTTTGGTGCAAGGATGAGAGAGCAGCTCTTCCCAATCGAAGTCGAAACAGGTGCACAAGAAGGGCACTCTGTGGAGAAGGCCCCGAGAGTGGGTCCCGGCCTTGCAGAAGGGGCTGGCCCCGAGTCAAGAGGCCACAGCGAGGTTCAGAGGCCCTGGCGATGTATCCAGAGCCCAGGCAATGGCCGCTCATGAGATGGCAGGCCCTGTGGTGCCCGAGGTTTGCTATAGTAGTGAGCGAAGTTACTGAAGGTGCTTGTGATCCATTTCAGGGTCTCTCTCAAAGCAGTTTTGATTTTTGTAAAAAAGCTTCATGATTTAGAAGAAATGCCACAGTCTTAGAATAAGCACATTACTTGATAGTTCTAGGTGTTGAAAACAGAATTACAACATACATTCTCAGCTCTGGCAATCATGTTTGCTTTGTATGCATGAAGCTCCCTTGTGTTTCTTACTCATAATCCCAGTTCAATGAAATAATATCAAAAGACCATCCACACATCAGTAAATAGTAAACATGAGGATTTATCTGTACTTGAGTTTATACAATGTGCTGCTGTTGGTAAAATGCCTATTTTCACATAAAGTTGCAACATGGAAGCTGTTTTTAAAGCCAGTAAGTGGTGATTTCTTTCCTTCTCAAAATTGTATTCTAAAGCAAAATTTTAATATGTAGATTCCAAGATGGGAATAAATTTGATGTAAAAACTGAAAAGTTTTAACTCTCAGGTATATTGTATTAAAACTTAATTCATTAGGAATTATTCCTTAGTTTATACACACACACATACACACACACACACACACATTTTGTGCTGGTCCTGGGGCTTGAATTCAGCATATTTTTGCTCAAGGCTAGTGGTGTATCACTTGAGCCACAGCTCCACTCCTGGCTTTTTTCTTTTTGTTTTTGGTGGTTAATTGGTGAGAAGAGTCCCACAGGTATTCCTGCGCAGGCTGGCTTTGAACCACGATCCTCAGACCTCAGCCTCCTGAGTAGCTAGAATCACAGTTGTGAGCCACTGGCACCAAGCCATATGTCAATATTTAATTTTTTTTGGCTTTAGAGTGAAGAAAAACATACAAACTTTGAATCGTTTAAAACTATCGCTTCAGGTGTCATTTATTTTAAGCTCACACCAGGTGAACACAACACTTAAGAGAATGAAGCTTTTTTAACAGAACTTACTCCAGGGACTTAGAACCCTGTAGACCAAATCGTTCTTCGGATCTATAAAATTTACAGAAGACATAAAGCAGGTTTCTATTTTGCTCTATGACAATGATGGTGTCTAACTAAGAAGTGCTCTGCAGTACATGAGATCCTTGATGCTGTGACTGTATTTTACACATTTTGCTTATTAACGGGAAGTTTAGAGCATTCTATGATGTTGCTAAGTGAGTGTGTCATTTCCTCACACCGAGAGAGCATAAACCTTGCGTGTGCACCTCCGGCTTGGTTCCCTCCTGCATTTCCCTGAAGATATGCATGTTCATGTATATGTGAACACAACATTGACACCAGAGGTGGAGGTGTGGCGGGGGCCATGGAGGGATCCGCCCACGCAGGTCAGCCTGCTGCAACACAGGCTCTCTCTTGTTCCCTTGCAGATCACACTGAAGAGGAAGGACAGTGTGCTTGGTTAGAACAACGGACGGGGTCATTAGCCATACTGTACATACCTTCGCGCAACACCAAACCCCTCAGCCACACGACAGACATCACTGCTGCATGTTAACAGGAAGAACAGACCACACGGCCCACTGCACACTGTTGCGAGCACTGTACATTGAATCAATATTTGTGCTGAGGTGATACCCCTGTCCTGAAGAACAACATTGTCATATTCTTTTCTAGCACAGAGCTATGCATACAGATATGCATACCTACTTAGTTTCCTATATATCCATGTCATTTTGAAAAGACAGACTATGGTATAACCATGACTCTATTATGTATTGGTACGTCTGTAGACCAAGATATAATTTTTTAAAAAAATAAGTTTATTTCTTTCAAGGTTTACAAATAACAAAGGTGCACCTTGTATTTAAAATTGCCATTATAGATGAGAGAGTGCATGCATAGCCCTTTCTGTTTCAGAGTAATATTTTTAATGTACTAGATGGTAAGACATACAGAGGGAGGGATCTGACAGATGAATGTGCCAAGCGAAACCAACTGTGTCTGCTGCCAAGCACACCTGGCTTTAAGTTCCATGTCGTCAAGGATTTCCATGAAGTGCCATAGACTGTACATCGAACTAGAGTATTATTTCTTCAGTGTTATTATTTTCAGAGCCACATTTTGTTGCTTATTTGCTAGTTCTCATCAATCAAAGGGCACCATACTTTTTTTTTGAAACCAAAGCTGTCTCAGAAATGGCAAAATTAACTTTACAGTAACAATAGACAGCACAACACAAACTCTCAATACAGATAAACTCACACATACTGGAGATATATATAAGATATATATATATAAAATATATAATTACTTTAATGCACTGTAGTGTAATATTTATGCATACTATACTGTATAACATGTTATTCAAAAGGGATATGCCATTTCTGAGACACAATAACAAAAAATGATGAAATTATTTTGCTTCTATATTTATAGCCTCTGTCAAAAGTCAGAAGGACTCTAAACGCTTTGCAAAAATGGTTTTATGTTTGCTCACATGCTTCCTACAGTCACATTTAAAATAGTGACTCTAAAGAAAGACAAGAACAGCACTGTCATCAGATGCATGATAAACCAAAATATGAAAATGAGAAATGTTTAATTAACCTAGTAACTGGGTGGGTTAAGTACATGGGTGAATTTTATATGTAATTTTTTTTGGTTTTGATTTGTTCAGATTAACTGCTTATAGCCTTAGAAAGCCTTTTACAAAATTAAAAAAAAATAGATGTGCATTCAGTTTTTAACCATGGAATCGTCCAAAGGAATTCCTTTTTTTAGTGGGTTGGATGTGGAAGCTTGTAAAGGATATTTTTGCTCTGCCCAGCAGTTCTGCGGAATGCTGGCGTGGGGCTCGGCCACTGGTAGCTCTCGTGAGGAGCGGGAGAAGAGAGGGTTTGGTTGTAGAACCTTCCATACTTCCAGGTTTACTGCAAGTTTTTATGCTTGAGAGAAATGCTTTCTAATATAAGACTGATGTGTTGATTTTACTGATTGCACTGTGCATCTATTAAAGCCTTAGATTCTGACATTACGGGTTGGAACCCATACCAATGTAATTTCAATCGTGTTGAGAGAGTAACAGTGACTTCATATGTTAGTGTAGTTTAGTTACATTACAGAATATTACTTATTTTGTTAAAATGTAGTTTTTCATTTCCTACATTTATTAGATTTTCTTTTCTATTAACAATTGAATACCATTTCAGATTATAGACTATTGTTTTGTTAGCTTTTACTGATGAATTTTTCAAAATACAAAAAGTAGTTTTTCTTCATAACATACTTAGTTTTGAATTACATGTAGTGTCATACGAACATTCGTATTATTGTTAACTAAATGATTTATATTTTACTGATTTAATATTACAGTATAAGAATGTCAGTCATTGTTAGTTCTTGTCTAGTTTTCATTAAAAGAACAAAGATCTTTTATATGGATATCTTATAAATATATAATCATTGCTAAGTAAGATGTTAAGTTGTTGCTATTGCAGCAATCCTGGCAGACAATTGAGTAATATTTTGATGATTTATTTTGTTTGTAATTAGTTATTATAAGAAGATCTAGATCCTAGATATTAGAATAAAATTTATTTTCTACTGTATCCATTTCAAATGTTAAAGTATTGTTTCATATTTTTTAAATCCCTGAATATCAGGCCTTGTTATAAATAAGCTGCATAATCAATAAATAGAACAAGGGACTTTCTGTTGATAATCCAAATACTCAAAGTTTACGTAATGAGAAATAGAGCGTGTGTGCAAACTCTTGAGGGTGAACTATGCTGCACTTCAGCATATTGGGAAGTCTAGAGAGAAGGTTGACTTTTTGCACTTCTGTATATAGTCAAAAGAGAGAAACCTGTATAATAGTAAGATCTTATTTTGAATAAAAACGTCTATAATTACAAGGAGTTTTGTTAAGGCTAATAAAATGACAGACTGAGCAAAATTGCTTGTGAAAGAGGCACAGAGTTAGCACTCTATACCCCTTCAAACATGTCGCTTTGCTTTTTTTGTGGACAGCTTGTAGTTTGCCAGGATTTTTTCAGCTGGAAAGGTAATGCCATCCTTCCAAGATCTCGTGACTGTCAAAAAGCTCCATTGGGCCAAATCTGCCTGACGATCATTACCAAAAAAACAGCAGGGACTTTGAACATTAAGATCAAACCATGGATCAAATATTCCTTACATTTTTCAAAACTACTGCATGTTTAAAACCTCAACAACAACAACAAATGAGAGAAGGGACAATACGATGGACCTATAATACCCAAATCGGTTTCTGCCAATTTCACTGGTTTATTGTTCACAAAAGAAATGTTCAAAACAAAGTATTGACTTTCAAAGAAAATTTAACCCATAAACAGGCAAACCAAACAGCACACTGTATCTATAATTGTTATGTGATTGTTTTTTTAATTGCTGTAGGATCCCGTTCTTTCAGCAGGTGAAAGAAATCAAACACAGTCAAGCACTCACGGGTGTAGGGAAGCTGGACCTGGTGCCGGCACTGGTTTAAGGAGCCAGTGGTGCCAGGCTTCCTGCGCCCGCAGAGCCGCTTTCCTCTGCTGGGAGGAGAAACATGCTTGGTTTTATATTATGTAATCACAACTTACTTTCTGCTTGTAGTTGCTTAAAATTATGTATTTTGTCTTGGGCTGCAATTTGCTTTATGCTTATTTTATTATTACTGCAGTAGTTGACTTTGCTGTATGGAAAAATAAAGTGAAATTGCCCTAATAAAACTTCTCTTTCTTAAGTATATTTGTGTGCCTGGGATTGAATTGTGAATTGCTGTTTTGCACGCCTCATGCACTCTCAGATCATCATGACCGGCTTGCCATGTAAACCTGCTGTCTGCTTTCGGAAGGCGGCAAGGGGGCATTGCCTTCCTTCCAATTCGTCGTGTTGATATCAAAATTCAAATCCAGACCCCCAGTGTTTCCTGAAAAACTTACCATCTTCTGATCCTTGACTTGCAATTCAAATGATATAAGGGGAAATAAAATTCTCTTACCAATTCTAGATCACTGTTTCTGTCTTCAAAGAGATGTGACTTGCCTGTCTCACCATGACTAGTGCTGGAAAATAGACCTGTCTAAAAAACTACAGCTGGGGACTGTTGATTCAAGAAGAGCAGAGATGATATACAAGTTAAGCCACGCCAGGATAAGACATAACTCCTGAGGGGTGTGTGTGTATGTGTGTGTGTGTGTGTGTGTGTGTGCGCGCGCGCGTGCATGTGCATGCATTCAAGAATTCATTAACCACAGTGAACTTTTTTGTTTTGTTTTGTTTTTGGGTCCGGTCGTGGGGCCTGAACTCTGGGCCTGGGTGCTGTCCCTCAGCTCTTCAGCTCAAGGCTAGCACTCTACCACTTGAGCCACAGTGCCACTTCCAGCTTTTTTCTTTTTGCTTATGTGGTGCTGAGGAATTGAACCCAGGGCCTCATGCATGCAAGGCAAGCACTCAACCACTGAGCCACCTTCCCAGCCCCCCACAGTGAACTTTTAACATAATAAGTACTGGTTTCTATGTATTCTCTGCATGCTGGCAATCCACAGATAGCCCATGAATAATGACCAGTGAATCCTAAAGGTCCAATGTGAAGACATTTAGGAGACTTATATGATGATGTTAGCATTTGATACCTGGTCGGAGGCTGCAATTTCTCCTTTGAGAGCTGATTTTTCCCCCCTAAAACTCGTTGCAGAAAAGGGGGTTGGGCATTTTTTGCTTTTTTGCTTTTTTATTGTTATTGTAAAGGTAATAAGGGTTACTGTTATATAAGTACATTTCTTTTCTGGCAAGGTTACTCCTTCCCTTGCTCTCTCCCAGTTTTTCCCTCCCATCCCCAAATACAAGTTGTGTATTTAATTTTCAACACCTACTGTTTTCAGCACCTACTATCATTGCTGCATTTGTTCACCCTTTTTTTTTTTTTTGTCGGCAGTGGGCTTGAACTCTGGGCCTGGGCACTGTCCCTCGGCTCTTCAGCGCAAGGCAAGCGCTCTACCACTTGAGCTACAGCGCCACTTCTGGTTTTCTGGTGGTTTATTGGAGATAGAAGTCTCACAGTCTCTCCTGCCCGGGCTGGTTTTGAACCGAGATCCTCAGATCTCAGCCTCCTGAGTAGCTAGGATTACAGGCGTGAGCCACCAGCGCCCGGCCCATTTGTTCACCTTTTATCTTCCCATTTCTGTGCCCCTTCATCCCCTCCCAAAGACAGTCAGATGAGCAAACAAGAGAAAAAGAAATTAAAATGAAAACCGCAACATTAAAAAAAAACTCTTGTTTCTATTTCCTGGAGTTAATCTCAATAAGTATTATTTCATATGATCAGTTGCACAAAGACATTGCTCCTCTGAGATTCTCTCCTAAGAGCATCCTCCGTTGGTCTCACTGTGTGCGAATGCCTAAAGATCTATATAATGTATCAAGTCCTGGTGTGTTTTAGATCTAGCTTCTGCATGGAAGTGTATGGTTAATGAGGGAATTTATAACGAGTACATTTCTGTGATGGGTTGAATTCTGTGGTTATTTTTGTTCTTACCAACAGACTTACGTCTATTTTAGATACCACGTACAAAAAATGAAATGCCCTGGAGCAAACTCTCTAGAGCAGCAAGGAGTGTCCTCTCCGAGTTATGTCAGTGACAGTAGTGCAGGTCACACTGGCTTTTTCAGATTGCAGTGAGTGTCATGAATGTTCAACTGGCAGTGCATGCAGGTCCCTGGGGTTGGTTGCCAGGTGCTTTCTCTGCACGGACGTGGCTGCTGGGGAGTGGCTCCTGCAGGCCTGGGGAGCCGCTCACCCTGGATGCTGGCGGAGGCCAGGCTGTTCTCAGGGAGTCCACACTGTTCCCTGACCCACTCTATGCATGCTCCCGGGCTGGGCAGTGGAAAGGCCTGGAAGGCAGCGACAGCAGCCTCCTTCTCCCTGGGCTTGCCTCCACCGTTATACCTTGAGGAGAAGCCGCTGGGCCCCAGAGGCGCTGCCATCTTTCTGCTGGTAACAAAGCAACCTGCACCAGAGGTGGTCACTGTAGCCTGTGGACAGCCTAGACACCATGTGGCCGGTCCAGGGCCATGGGGTTAATACAGCTCTAGAACTTGGAAACCTGAAGTCCTGGGGCACATCCATTGTCAATATTAAACATTCTTCATGCAGGCATCATGCAAAGTGCCCCAAAATATGCACTTTAGATACACAGGGACCACAGGATTCGCTTCCCTCTGTCAGAACAGGACGGAGATGAATTCACTGTGGCCCTGTGCTGCCCTGTCCCTGCTGACCACTGCCTTGTCCCTACTGCCAACTGCCCTGTCCCGGCTAACTGTTGCCCTGTCCCTTCTGACCACTGTCCTGGCCCAGGCTGTGTCCATAGATCAGGGCATGTGCTCAGCAGCATGGGGTGTGTGCACAGCAACATAGGGGTGTCCACAGTGAGACTGGGTATGTGTTCACCAAGACAAGGCATGAGCTCAGCAGGACGAGGCATGTGCTGAGTGGGGCAGCCCATGTCTACAGCAGACTGTGGAGGCTGTCAAGGTGTGGAAATGTCAGCAGCCTGCATTGGGCATTCAAAAACTTAGAGCCCTGATATCAAACCAGAGTACAGCCAGACAACAATAACCAAAGTGGCAATACATTCATATCACAGTCCCACTGTGGCAGGGAAAGGAGGACCCAAGCCGTACACATCATGTCACACTGTGGTGAGGACAGGAGATTTCAGCCATGCACATCACAGTTGCACTGTGGTGAGGACAGGAGAACCCAGCTGTGCATATCACAGCCACATTGTGGCGAGGACAGAAGACCTCAGTCGTGCACATTACAGTCGCACTGTGGCAGGGACAGGAGAACCCAGCCATGCACATCACAGCGCACTATAGCGAGGACAGGAGACCTCAGTGGAGCACATCACAGTCGCACAGTGGTGAGGACAGGAGATTTCAACCATGCACATCACAGTCGCACTGTGCCGGGGACAGGAGGACTCAGCTGTGCACATCACAGCCACACTTTGGTGAGTATAGGAGACCTCAGTAGTGCATATCACAGTCGCACTGTGGTGAGGACAAGAGAACTCAGCCATGCACATCACAGCCGCACTGTGGCGGGGACAGGAGACCTCAGGGTACACAACACAGTCACACAGTGGTGAGGACAGGAGATCTCAGCTGGGCACATCATAGTCACACTGTGGAGAAGACAGGAGGCCCCAACTATGCACATCACAGTTGCCCTGTGGCAGGGACAGGAGACCTCAGTCATTCATATCTCAGTCATACTGTGGTAAGGACAGGAGACTTCATTGGTGCATATCACAGTCGCACTGTGACTATGACAGGAGACCTCAGGGTGCACAACATAGTCGCACTATGGCGAGGACAGAAGACCCCAACCATGCACATCACAGTGGCACTGTGGCGGGGACAGGAGGACCCAGCCGTGCACATCACAGCACACTGTGGCGAGGACAGGAGACCCCAACCATGCACATCATAGTCCCACTGTGGTGAGGACAGGAGACCTCAGTCGTTCACATCTCAGTCATACTGTGAGAGGGAGGGAGACCCCCATCCAGGTACATCACAGTCACACTGTGGTGAGGATAGGAGATTTCAGCCGTGCACATCACAGTTGCACTGTGGCATGGCCAGGAGACCTGGGCTGTGTGCATCACAGTCGCACTGCATTGTGAGATGGCTGAACCTAGAATAAGTCATATGAAGTGAGCAAAGCTAAAGTCAGAGACACACAGTGCTTGTTTTACCTCATACACAGAAAGTGGATGTAAAATACATCAGGAGGACATGATAAATTACACAGGGTAAGTTATACAGGCATCCACACACACTGAGACCGAAGGAGGACACTCTTAGGGGAGGAGCACAAAGGTGCATTGCCTATGTGCATCTGGTTGCATCAAATAATATTTACTGAAATGAACTCCAGGAAATGGAGATTTTATCTTTGTTGTTGCTTTTGTTTTCTTTTCCTGTTGTCTTTGTTTGTTTGTTTATCTGTCTTTGGAGAGTAAGAGGAGGCACCAAGACTGAACAAATGTAGCCACGGTAGTCACTAGACACCATGTGGAAACTGAACTATACAACTCTTGAGTGGGAACAGGAGGGAATATTGGGATAGAGCAAAGGAAGGGGTGACATTGTCCTAAAAGAAATGTATTGTTTGAGGCTGGGAAGGTGGCTCAGAAGTAGAGTGCTTGACTCACATGCATGAGGCCCTGGGTTTGATTCCTCCTCAGTACCACTTAAGCAGAAAAAGCTGGGAGTGGCACTGTGGCTCAAGTGGTAGGGTGCTAGCCTCGAGCTGAAGAGCTAAGGGACAGCGCCCTGGCCCAGAGTTCAGGCCCCACGACCAACATAAAAATATAACAACAACAAAAAATACCCACAAGAAATGTACTGTTTACCTGGCTTATGTAACTGTGACCCCTCTATGTGTCACCTTTACAATAATAATACAAAATATGATGAACTCTAAAAGAATTACTTAATTATCTTTTAAAAGCCAGGATATTTTGTCCCTACTCCAGATACTGATTGAACAGTTACTATGGAGGAAGCTTCTGAGTTAACACAAATCAACAAAAGTGCGTAGTAAGTAACAAGCAAGGAAATGCTAACTGGTGCTCAGTTCACTCTTCCTTGAGAAGGACTGGGGGGCATGCGCAACCCAATTGTGTTATCTGTAGCTCTTTCCTTCCCGTACCATACTTCATTGTCTGCAGCAC